ACCCTCTTTGCCCTCGTCTCCCAAGTTACTACCTCTGCCCGATAGGGGAGGAAGATGGCACTGGCCAGGTTGCCGGTGATGCCACTAAGGATGAAGATGATGGAGATGCGGTGCCAACCGGCTAGCTTCTCCAGGTCCCTCAGGATGGTCATTTGGAAGACCACAGACACAAGGCAGTGCACTATGCTGGAGGTAGAGACATGAGCATCATCAGCCTTGTGTGCCCACGGCCAGCAGCTGGGCACACCACAGGGGCAGTCAGCATTGGCGGGGTGTGACAGGGTCCAGAAGCCCTTTCTCCAGCATGCGGGTGGGAAGGCACAGGGCAAGGGGCAGCGAGGCATCTCTTACCCCGCGTGCAGGAACAGAGACAGCCAGATCCGGTAGAACTGGTCAGGGACCTCAGGGTTGAGGAATGGCAGCAGCCCGCACACCTTGTCCAAGCAGTGCACCTGGGTGGGGGACACAGGGTTGTTGATGTTGCCCCAGGAAGCACACCAGGCATGAGGCTTCCAAATGGGCAGGATCCAACAAGTCTTAGGACCCCTACGGCTCCTGTTCCCCAGACAGCCTTGCCCACCTGGGAACAGAGTGTTGCCTCCTCATGGAAATAGCCATGCATGAATTCACAGTACTCCCGGGTGGTGATCTCACAGCTGTGAACAGGAAGCAAACAGGGCATCGCTTAGGCTAGAGCCAAGCACCTGACTGTGGCAGGCAGGATGGAGCAAGCTCTCTTTCTCTCTATCTCACGGCCCCCTCCACCCCTGCCTCCCCACCAAGAGCAGAGACTGGAGGACAGGTACAGAGGTTCACCAGCCTGCGGGACTGGTGTCTAGCTCACCTGCCCTTGGTGCCGATGCAGCAGGGGCGGCCTTTGATCTTACAGTCTATGTGCAATAACCCCGTGTGGTTGCTCTGGGCCTGCTCTGTGCAGATCTAAGAGAGAGGGCACCGATGGCGGTGGGCTTCAGTGCCGGAAAGCCAAATGTCCCCACCCTCATCGGGCAGCCTTCCAGATGAGTCACTCACCGGCCACTTGGTAATATCATCTGGCCAGATGTGGGCCCCACTGGAGGCTGGCTCTTCACAGGTCCTGAAAGCAGTGGTCGGATGGGGCGAAAGGAAGAACTGGGACACCCCAGCCCTCCACACCCACCCGCCAGCATCCCAGAAGGCAGCTCAGAGAGCTGGGTGGCTCTAGGCTGTACCTGGGGTCTTGGTGGCACACAACCGCTGATGGCTGCTTCTGGCCCTGATCAGTATCTGAGGACCCAGTGTCATTCTGCCACTTCACGAAAGTGGCCAAGGTCTCCTAGACGGGGAAGAGGAGGTCAGGTCATGCCGGGGCAATGTCACCCTCCAGGACCAGGGCTATTCCCACTTTACATCCCAGGAGTGGTCCAACTTTTCCAGCCTGACTGTGGGCTTGCCGGCCAGGCTGGCGATCTGGTAGGGCTGTGGTGGGGCTGGCAGGGTCAGGGTGCCGGACCCACCGAGCAGTCTTTCTTCTGGGTCTGGATACAACCCGAGCGGTCATTCTGGACACAGCAGCCCGAGGCTCGCTCAACCTCACGCTCCCTCAGCACCAGTTGCTCAATTTGCTGGTCTTTGCGGATACAGGGTGAGAACTTTGCTCCTAGGTGGATCAGGTCAATCTGGAACCGGGAGAGGGGCTGGTGAGCAGCTCTCCAGAAGGGGCAGGGCACCCTGTATCCACTTTGGAACCTCCCCCAACTGGTATGGAGTGGACAGGGTACAGGCTCCCAGGCATCCCTAGCCTGGGCCTCACCGAGCTGGGGCCAATCCAGAAGTTCTCCTGCTGGATGTATTTCACGCTCTCGTACACACCTCTGTTCTTCAGCACCTATCAGGGAGGACAAGAGGAGCCAGAGCCCTGAGTGTGAGGGGAGCGCGGAGGGCTGGCACCCCCAGAAAAGAGGACGTGAACCTCAGCTCCTCCAGCTTGGGCCAGGTCGCCGTGGTGGCAGATACTGGTGCCCACTGTGCCGCAGCCCCTTGGCAGAGCCCTACTCACCAGCTGGGTGGTGACATGCTGGGCAAAGCCCACAGGCGCAATGCCGTAGGTGCAGATCACCAGCAGCGTGATGATGATGTGGACAAAGGTCAGCCAGTAGGTGAAGTAAGGCCTGTAGGCAGAGGCCTCCATCAGCCTGGCAAGCTCGCGCCCCGCCCTCCCCCTGGACGCCGCCTGGCTGTGCTCATCTCTTCCTTGCTCCTCCTCTTGCACTTCCTGGATCAGCCAAGTGACCCTGCACACACTTTACATCACCTGGAGACTCTACTCCCCCCAACCCCAGCACTCACCCGCCACAGTTGTCATTTCTGACTTTTGTATAATTCGGAGTCCAATGTCTCACATCGCAATCACACTGTGACCATCTCGTTCTTTAGCCTCCAGGTTCCCTTAACGTTTCTGTGACCAACTTCCCCCAGAACCCCTTGCTCCAGGCTCCAACTTCTTTTGTTCTGTTTTAACTTCTTGTTTTGAGACAAAGTATCTCTATGGAGCATTAGGTAGAACTCAATATATAGACCAGGCTGGCTTTGAACTCACAGAGCTCTGTCTGAATACTGCCTCCTGAATACTGGCATCAAACATGAAAGTATTTATTTGTTATTAGTGTGTGTGTGTGTGTGTGTGTGTGTGCACGCGCGTGCGTGTACTGGGAGTGCAGACGACACAACATGAATGTGTAACTAGTTCTCTCTTTCCACCTTTATATGGATCCCAGGGGTCAAACTCAGATCACCAGTCTCACTAAGCCATCTTGCCAGCCCCAGGCTCCAACTTCGACCTGTCCTTCTGACTGGCTGCAGTCTGGGAGCCATGCTGTAAATAAGGCAGCACACGCCAGTGGGAGCCTGAACGTGGGAGCCCGCGCATGTGCCTGGTAGCTTGCCATTACGCGGCAGACCTGCAGGAGGCGCTCTTGAAACGTTTAGGGGCCGTGTTAGGGGTGAGAGCCCTGAGAGGTTTGGAAGCTCTGGAAACAGAGCCCCGCTCAGGCTAGCTCCTGGGGTGGGGGGTGGGGGACACGGGGGCACAGGACGGGACTCACCGGTGGCTGTCAAAGCTCTCCAGCTGCCTCTGCACGGTGCTGCTGATGCTGCGGCGGTAGCTGCGGTTCAGCCAGTTTCCCACGACACCCAGGCCGTAGTGCCGCTTCTTCCGGTCAAACGCAAAGTGCTTTACTTTGGAGGCAATGCGCTTGCCGCGCTGGGTGCCAGGAACCGGGGTACGGCTGCTGTACTCTTTCCTGGTGGTAACAAAGGCTTTCAGCCTGAGAAGCCTCCCAGGGCTTAACAGGGGTCAGATCGGGGCAGAGGCCAGGGCAGGGCATTGGAGAGTCCCCACCCTGTACTCACAGAGGGATTTGCACTCCATCAGGGGAGACTGGGGAGGCGGAGTGTGGGACCCCTCGGAAGTTACTAGCAGAGAGTGGAGGAGACTCAAATACATCATCGTGCATGGAACTCATTTCTTCCTGGAGTAGGGGGGCACCGAAGACAGGGTAAGTAAGGAGTCAGTGTCCCAAGTACTATCCCCTAGCACGCTGCTCAAGGGCAAGACAGCGCTAAGTAGTCTCTTCAGGATGGAAGGGGAAGCCACATGCTTGTCAGCCCTGAACTGATTTCCCAGTGGGTTCATCTCCCACTCCACAGCCCCCTCTATGGGAGCCCAGACCAATGGCTCACAAAGGACACACCCCATCCTGCCTCTGGACATTTCAGGGCTCCTAGTAGGACACAGTCGAGGCCAAGGTTACTTCTCCAGCTCCCAGACCTCCCCAGCCCCTGCCTGCCCAGAGTCCACACCCCATGCTTGCCTTACTAAAAAAGGAGGAGTCAAAGGTGTCCGCTCCATCGACAGCATCCTCCTCCAGGAAGCTGGGGAAGGCAAAGCTGCGCTTGACGTTCCGGCACCGCTGCCCTGTGGCGTCCAGCACTGAGCGCCCCTGGGTGTGGGACAGAAGCATCATCAGTATCAAGACCCAGAACCCAGGGCCAAAGGGGCAGCGTGCAGGTTGACAAAGGCATGTTGGGGGGGTGGGCTGAAGGAACTGGTCGGAGCCGATGGCCAGGATGGGGCTCCAGCTGCTGCTGGCCCCTCACAGCCTCTTTCCAAGGTTTTGGGACCAGCTTTTCCCTCGCGACCTCCTGCCTGCTGACATGAGCAGCTGGCGCTCCAACACTCAAGGCGTTCATATTCACATCCATATTCTACACTGTCATGCTCTGGTCTGGGGCTATGCCCCCCCCTGCTGCCTCTTGGCCCAGCACACCAGGCCCTCGCCCACTGGTCTGATCCTTTACCTCCTGTCATTCTTCCTAAGGCAGAGGGGCGGTGAGGGTCTCGTAGGGAGCTGGGGCCTGAAGGGCACAGGTATCTCTGGTCTTCAGGGTGTGTATACGAGCTTAGTGGCTGTCTCGGATGAGGACTTAACATCCTTCGGCATGGGACTCACCTTGAGGAGGGCGGCGGCTGCCTGAAAGCTCATGTGGGCAACGGATATCCTTTTGCGGCGGGGCAGGTGGGAGTAGCCAGAGCGGACGCTGGTGAAGGACGTAAGGGACAGGACCCCTGGAGTCAGAGGTGGATGGGGAGCGTGAGGCCGGTCCACCTCATCTGGGTGGCGGAAGGCCCGACCCCGGGCCAGGGGATCCACAATCTGCAAGAGACAGTAGGTAAGAGAAGCTGGCCCGGCCCTGGGAGAGCCGCTCACTGCCCCTCATTTCCAGGACGTCCACCTTGGGCATCTTGCAGGGCTTTGGAGACTCAGTGCCCTGGAAGGAAGGCACCTCCTGGCTGGGCAGCTCCAGTTCTCTCTGGCATGAGGCCTTGAGCCGGCCATAGTGCACGCTGCAGTGGTGCAGGCTGCGACGCTGCCAGTTTTGTCGCTTGCCTTCCCAGTCGCCACTGACCCCGAACCACTGGGCCGTGCCCCTGTAAAAGAGACACAGTGTGGGTGGAAAGTCGTGCATGCACTTCCGGGTGGGGGGAGTACGTGTGAGGGGTCCTGGTATACATGTATGTGCAGGGGAGGTGGGGGCGATGGTGCACGTGTGTGCACAGGGGAGGTGATAATGGTGTGTGTGTGCGCAGGGGAGGTGGAGGTGATGATTGTACATGTGTGCACAGGGGAGATGATGATTGTACATGTGTGCACAGGGGAGGTGATGATGGTGCGTGTGTGCACAGGGGAGGTGGGGGTGATGGTGCGTGTGTGCACAGGGGAGGTGATGATGGTGCGTGTGTGTGCAGGGGAGGTGGAGGTGATGATTGTACATGTGTGCACAGGGGAGGTGGGGGTGATGGTGCGTGTGTGCACAGGGGAGGTGATGGTGTACATGTGTGCACAGGGGAGATGATGATTGTACATGTGTGCACAGGGGAGATGATGATTGTACATGTGTGCACAGGGGAGGTGATGATGGTGCGTGTGTGCACAGGGGAGGTGATGATGGTACGTGTGTGTGCAGGGGAGGTGGAGGTGATGATTGTACATGTGTGCACAGGGGAGGTGGGGATGATGGTGCGTGTGTGCACAGGGGAGGTGATGATGGTGCATGTGTGCACAGGGGAGGTGATGATGGTACACGTGTGCACAGGGGAGGTGATGATGGTACTCGTGTGCACAGGGGAGGTGAGGGATGAGCGCACATTTAAGGAGGTAGCATGGGAGATGACAGCATGCGTATGCTGGGAAGGTGGCAGTGTAGTGCGGGTGTGTGTACACAGGGAAGGTGATGTGTAGGTTGAGGGTACTGGAAGCAGTGGTACATGTATGTAGGGAAAGCTGTATAGGGGTACGTGTGTGTGGGTGATGGCATGTGTGCTCCTGTGTGTGTATAAGGTAAACCACCTGCTGTATCATATACCTTCAGGGTCCTGGGGAATCAGCTTCCCTGAGTCCACTGAGTCCCCAGCCACAGCCCAGTGACCAGGCTTAGAGTGAAGGCCACATCATGAGGTAGGTGGACCTGGGAAAGCCCTGAGAGCCCCTCTGCAGCATGACGTGAAACTTCCTGTCAGGAGCCCACGTGGGGCCCAGGCTCCCCATCCACACCACCACACCGCATCATATCCTCCGCGGGGAGCTGGCTGCCTCTTACTGACCCTGTCTACGCCTTCTGGAAAGGGGATTCAGGGCTCAGGCCCTGGGCAAGATCAGGTGCCCAGAATGTGCAGGCTGCCGGGGTGTCCAGGTGGGGCCCAGGTGCTTACTTGCGGATGCTCTGGGACAGAGAGGCCTGACGGCGGAAGCCGGGGCGTTTCTCGGTGCCATCCTGCCATCGTCCTCGGGGTTCCTGGAGGCTGACACTCTTCAGGTAGGCTGGGTTCTTAGGTCTCTGTGGGGCAGCGAGGAGGGCACGCGCTGAGTGCATAGCCCATTCCCTTCTTGTGTTGGGGACAGAACCCAGACCCTTCGACATGCCAGGCTACTTTAACACTTTAACACTAGACCACTGACCTGCACCCCTCCCTCTGCAAGGGCTTCATTCTGAACTTAAGATCAACATTTTCTAGTATTTTCTAGCAAGGTCTGGGGATCTAGCTCAAGTTGGTAGAATGCCTGCCCAGCATACATAAAGCCTTGGGTTCGAGTCCCAGCACTGCATACACCAGGTGTAGTGGTGAACACATGCAACACCGGCACCCAGGAAGTAGGGGCAGAAAGATCAGAAGTTCAAGGTCACTGTTGACTACATAGCAAGCTCCAGGCTAACCTGGGCTACATGAGACACTGTCTCAAAACAATAAAGACACCATGTTTTCCAGTGAACCCCAGCAAATGCTCCCTATACATGATCTGCCCATGATGTGGGACAAGCTCGCCTCTTTTCACTGGTGAGCGGGCGGCCCCAACATTGCTCCTCTTTATGTCTCAGGCTGTGTGCAAAGCCCACGCTATCTGGGGCCTGTTCTCAATGGGCTCTTTATAGGACAGGAGTCCAGATGGACAGAAACACTGACCCATTCCCCCAAGAGTCAGGCGCTACAGGGGTGGGTTGCTGGCACTGTGGGACCCTGCGCCCACTCAGGTCACTGGACAGCCCACACCCCCTCAGAAGAGGCCAGTCAGGGCCAGAGAGGGGAAATATAAACAGCCAGAGCCTAGGCAAGTCTTCGGACACTGCTCCCTGTCCCTTGGCCACCAGGCGATACAGCACACAACGTTTCAGAGTTCAAAGCCTCACTCCCTACAGCATTGCAGCTCCGCGTCGAGGCTGCAGGGCTGCCAGTGGACTGTGATGGACGGGTGCTGCGTGGGTGGGCACATCTGTTGCCTGCGGCTGTGCCTCCAGCCTCTCACCTCAGGAAGCATGCTATCCCGCTCGCTGGGGGCCTGGGCCTCAGGCGGCGGGATAGTGATGGAGAGGTTGGGTGGCTTCCGGCTCTGCAGGCGGCTACCAGACACAGAAGAGAGGTTGCTGCCATCCTTGTCAGCGGAGGCCATGGTGGACCCGATCTAGCAGGGAAACAAGGAGATCAGCGCAGGCGCACAGAGCTGGCAGGACTAGCGGGGGTGCGGGTGCAGCGTGAATTCTAATTGGTTTTAGAATAAAAACCCAGAGTCAGATATAGGGGTTAACGCTGAGAGATCGGAGAAGCAGAGAAGCCAGCTACTAGTTCTTACCACTACCGAATCCTCAGATCAAATGGGGTGTCCTGTCTCTACAAGTCCCCAAACTGAATGCCATCTCTATGAAACCTCAGCCTGAATCCTGAGCTCCTGTCTCCTCCCGCCTTATATTCCTCTCTCCACCCAGCCATATCACTCCTGTCTCCTCCTCCCTAGTGCTGGGATTGATGTTGTGAGCCACCACTCCTTGGCTCTATTTCTCTTTTAGACTGATTCAAACTCGTGTAGCCCAGGGTGGTCTTAAACTCACAGAGATCCATCTGCCTCTTTCTCCTGAGAGCTGGGATTAAAGGTGTGTGCCACCATTGCCTGGCCTCTCTGCTAACTAGTGTGGCTAGCTCCGCCCTCTGATCTTCAGGCAAGCTTTATTTGTTAAAGCACAAACAAAATATCACCACACTTGGGGATCTTAGAATCAGGGAAGGCAGCTCAGGACCAGACCAACCGGTCCCACATGGCCTCAGACCAAGCACCAGAGAGATGCGGGCTAGGCCGCACCTGGGCCGGGTGGAGGAACTTGGGGTCTATTTCTGGCTTTCATTTGCATTTCTGACCAGCAGGGGTGGGGAGAACCTTGGCCCAGCCTCAGTCCCTTTCTGACCTCTCAGCTCCAGGAGCAGAAAGATAAGGAGTGGGTGTGGTCAGGGCAGGTCAGGGGTCTTAGGGTGGGCATGGACGAAGGGTCCTTCCTTGGTCTCTGTTCTCTAGACAGGACCGCTCCAGACAACCAAGCACGCCAAGCTGCCAACTGGTGCTCTCAGCGCTGCTGGGCCAGCACCAGCTGCTGCCACCAGGGGTCAACTATGCAGCGCAGGTGCTTCTGGGGGGGGGGGGGGGAAGCAGGCCTTGTTATGCACAGGAAGTGGTGGTTCTGCCTAATTCCCAGAGGGAAGAGAAACCCACCATTCAGGTCCCTGTCCCCCAAGGCTGCCTGGTTTCTCCTCAGAGTTAAGTGAAAGCCACTTAAATGGTGGTGGGCACATATAATCTCAGATGCTTGGGAGGCTGAGGGAGGAATAGCATTTGGGTCCAGGAGTTAAAGGCCAGATTCAGCAACATAACGAGCCTCTGTGTAGTTAGTACAATCCCGGTGCTTGGAAGACTGAGGAGAGAATATTGTGAGTTTGAGAATGGCCTGGACTAGGTCAGCCTGGGCTATACCTGTTAGAAAAAAGAAAAGAAGAAAAGAGAAAGATAATTGAAACTGCTACTATCCTGTTATTTCTCATTTTTTTTCTTTCCTTTAAGAGAGGGTTTCATCGCAGGCTAGCCTTGAGCTTGCTGTGTTTCTAAGGGTGATTGCGAACTCCTAAATCTCCTGCCTCTCCCTCCCATGTGCTGGGATTACAGGCATGGCCGCTGTGTCTGGCATACATGGTGCCAGGGATCGAGCGCAGGCTCCATGCGTGCCAGGCAAGCACTCTCCCAAAAGAGCCACATCCCAGCCCTGGTATTTCTTTTTTCACAGCCACGGAACATTTTAACAATAAAGGTGATTCACGCTCGCTGAACAAAAAGACTGAGCAAGGCAAAGCAGAAAATAAGGTTGGGGCCATCCCTCAGGGCAGCCTCCGTGTTCCAGCAAATAGCACAGGTTCTTAAAGCAGCCGAGGCTCTCAGGTCTGGTGTGATCCCTTTCCCTTGGGAACACACAGATTGTCATCTTTGCCTTCTCTGAGGACAGAAAAGCCCTCACTAAATGACACACCAAGACTCAATTCCTGACGGATGGTTATGCAGGACGTTTAGTGTTGATCATGTGTGGGTATGTTGGAGTATTGAAGACCAAGCACTACATGCAGGAGGCTAGCAGGAAGAACAAGGGTGTTGAGGATTTCAGTGGATCTGGATAGGTGGTCCCGTAAAGAGGTCCCGTAAAGAGGAGGTGCTCGTTCACCCTGTTAGGGAACTTTTCACTGCCCAGGCTGGGCTACTGAACCCCATTCCCCTTCGATGGCTCCCAGATGAGACACCCGCTGTCTGCTTCTGCCCCTGTGGCGCTGGGACGCTCAGTAGGAGGCAGCAATGGGCAGAGGGCAGTGCTCGGTAGCCACCGCATGGGCCCACGTCCAGCTCTTACTAGCTTTTACTTTCATTTATTTATCTTCTGTGTATGGGTGTTTTGTACGTTAGTGTCCATTACATATACCTGGTGCCTACGGAGGCCAGAAGAAGGCAATGGATCCCCTGAAACTAGAGTCACGGATAGTTACAAGCCACAACATGGGCGCTGGGAATCACACCGGGTCCTCTGCAAGAACAAGTGCTCTTAACTGCTGAGCCATCTCTCCGGACCCCTAGCTCGAGCCATCTTTACCCTTCTCCACAGCCTGCTCTCACCTGAAAGAGCCCACCAATCTCCCCACCCTCCCAATGGACCTATCTCAACGACAAACTCATGCCTATCTGTTTGGTTCCAAGATCCCATTCTTCAAGATCAAGCTCCTCCAAGGCAGCCTCCAGGCCCCCTTTGCTCCTTCCTCCCCACAAGCTTTGTTCTGACTGTGCCACTCTGGCCCCTCAGTTGGGTGCCCCCAGCTTGACTTGCCCCAATGAGAGCGCTGAACCACTGCCACCGGGCTTACATTTGCATAAGAAAAAGAACAACACATTCTCCCTGTTTGGACCCCCAAAACATCCCTCAAGCACTATCCCCAGACACCATGCAAGAACGTCCCCATCAGTGAATTCACCAGAGCTAAAAGGTGACAACCACCAAATGCCCATCAGTGGAGGACGGGGCAGACAGAATGGTGCAGATGCAGAACAACATCCTCATCCTAACACCAGCTCAACACAAGTAGGACCTAGGCGCTAAGCTAGGCTGTGACCTTGAGAGCATCATCTAAGATGCCACTCACAAAAGCCTCGTGTCTGCCATCCCAGCACTCAGGAGGCAGAGGCAGGAGGATTCTGAGTTAGCGCCAAGGTAAAGGTGCTTGCCATCAAACCTGACAACATGAGTCTGACCTCTAGAACCCAACACTGTGGAAGGAGAGAATCGTCTCTTGTATAAGTTGCCCTTTGTCCTCCATGGTACACTGTGGTATCTTTACCACATAAATCTAAATACACACAAAATAAACAAATCATTGTGGAAAATTTGAGAGTGGGAGGCACAGTCTGGGCCACACAAAGGATTCAAGGGATTCGATACATGAGATTGCACTGGAAGAAAAAGAGAAGAAGGAAAGAGAGAGAGAGAGAGAGAGAGAGAGAGAGAGAGAGAGAGAGAGACCAGACAGATGGCTCAGTGGTTAACAACACAGGCTGCTCTTCCAGAAGACCTGAGCTCAGTTCCCAGCACCATCAGGTGGCTCACAATAGCCTGTGTCTCCAGTTCCAGGCGACCAGATGCCTTCTGACTTCCACAGGCACCTGCACACACAGAATACACACATACACATCAATAACATTTTTTTTTTAAAAAAGTCGGGCATGGTGGTACATGTCTGCAATTCCAACATTTGGGAGACTGAGACAAGAGGGCTGCTTTGAAATCAAGGCTAGCCAGGGCTACAGAGCAAAGTCCTCTTTCAAAATAAACAACAGGAAAAGAAAACCAAACAGAGC